CATGGCACAAAACCTGTTTACCTTCAACGACTAATTTTGCTACTATTTACTAGTAATATATTAATGCCATTTATAATATACACACGTAAAACTTGTTTGTTTAGGCAAGACAAAGGTTTCGGCTGATGTAACCAGTCTTTATGTAACGGAGATCGTGAAGATTGCCAAAATGTAATCAGGGTTATGTGTTTCTTTGTGTCGGAAGTGTACACAAGTTTTGCCATGAAGGAGAGATCTGAACACCGCTATTTTCCTTCTGGACATTGGGCCTTGTCTGTGCTAACAGCGTTCCAACTGTTGTTATTGGGTGAATTTTGACGGAATCCCAGCATGGGGGTGAAAATCTGCCAGGCTAATTAACGTTGTACGCATCCCTGGTATTTGACCGTTGAAAAGTTTAGTCTTGCTATTGACTCAGTAATGAGATTCAAAGATGACCCTTTTGACAGATTGATGTTTAATAAATTTATGTTGATTTTGTTGCAACTATAAATAAAGCGTTTTGGAAATGGCTGTTCTCATAACTTCGGTCGAAAGGCTGAAAACAAACAACAAGACAAAAACGTTAACTACCATCGGAACATCACTCACTCTTGCACTTCCTTTGGTACACTTCCATCAGGAGCTTAGGATGCAATGCTGATTCTATTTCAATACTATCAGCATATAATCTTTAGGCAGCTTTAAAAATCATTCACTATTATAAGATTATTCTTTTGCATTCGTTCCGTGAGGTGGTATACGATTAGTTACGTTGCAAAGACGAAAGGTGAGTGATCGAACCACAATTTTCGAGGTTAAGTCTGATGTTCTACCGACATGAACAATCACAAACACTAGACACAAGGGCTACTGCCAAAAACAATTGATCCCACAATGAAACCAGCTAGCTTTGGAAAGAATTGTGAATAATAATTTGTTCATGATTTCTCCAAAGTTCTCCTTGCCTGACAAATTTGCAGATAATAGCGCTGACAACTTCACATGTTGAGTTTCCAAGCTATATCGGCTTTACAACTGCA